TACTACTACTCCTGCTGCTACTACTACTACTACTGCTGCTACTACTGCAACTACTACTACTACTACTACTACTACTACTACTCCTACTGCTACTGCTACTGCTACTGCTACTGCTACTGCTACCACTACCACCACCACTCGTTGTCAAATTATCACACTTGTGGACGTTGTGGGTTACGGGCAGGTAGAAAAGAAGGTTCGTGGGCAAGCCCAGGTAGGTAGCTGTAGGTGGGCGGGTAGGTGGGCGGGTTGGTGAGTGGTAGGTAGGACGTCCCACACCGGTTTCGCACAGAGCCAGCTCGGAATGTGTGGAGCTAGTTGCTGGCTTCGTGGCGCAATGCTGAAGTGGTGAAGCTGGAGCACGACAGTCTTGGATCAACAGAACCCGTGACAATCTGATTATGTCACCTTTCATATTTGGAGGAGTCGACGTACGGGTTAAAAATGGTTTAGTTTAAAGATAGGATTTTAGCTGATATGTAGAGGTCGAGCAGGACAGCTCCGAGACAGAGCCGATGAAAAAGTCAGAAAGCAGAGTGGACTTGTCAGAGTGAGGCGCGAGTCAGGCAGAGGCAGCAAACAGGCTTTCGGGAAGGAGCAGCCACCGCCGAGTATCCTTAGACGTGACCCTGGATGGGACAGTCTTAAATGGTACTACTAGCAGTTTTGTCCTTGTTGTGTTTCTTACTCTAATTACTTTGATTTTACACGCTTCCCGTCGTCCGCCTCGGCCGGCTGTACTTGAAGCAGGTGTGTTGTTTCGGAAAGCAACGGGTAGGTCACATTGGTGAGGTCTTGAGTAAAATAAGCGAATTTGCTTCAGAATGTTTCTTAATGTCAGTAGCTGAGGGTCTGACCAAATCCCACGCGAGAGGTGGCACATTCCCTGCATTATCCCATAGACGGATAGACGTTACTATAATAATAGTATCACACCTCTCACTCGTCTCGTATACAACCTCCCATATGTTGGAAGGGAATCAAGCTTTGCAACGAAGTACAAGACGCAGCCCCAGAATTCTCAGGCTTCAGCATCAGCTTCGCGGATGATGTAAGCTAGCCCGTCCGGAAGGGAGGTGAGCGCTCCCGGCAAGCCTACTCTCCGGCTTCACAATCTCCGCACGTTTCGGGTTGCCAACCCAAAATCCAATTTTTTTAGGGGGGAGGGGAGGTCAGTGGCCCCTCTAGCTGGGGAAGCAGGGACTCCCTGTGAGAACCTCTGACCGCTTCGGCCGGGGCCGCAGCGAACGATCACTATTAGTCCATTGCGGATTCGCTGGCACGACTTCCTACTGTCTTACGGGGTTCTTGGCAGGTCCGATTTTGAGCTTTAGGGCGTCGCAGCTGAGGATTCTGCGAGTTCTGGTTTTGTAGGATGATCATAGGCTGGTGGTCGGCCTGCTCTGTGCGGCAGGCGACGGAATCCGTGGATGGCGCCCGGATTCGTCCAGAGGACTGACACTACAAATTCGAAATCAAAAGACCCTAAGCATCCCAAACATCCCTCAAGCCTAATTTAACAGGCTCCAAGCCTGAGACTCATGATGAAAAGGAGGTCCTGGCTGCTCGGCCACTTGACGAAGGCCGGTTCTTCGGAAGCGAAAATCTGCAGGAATTGTCGCAGAGAGCGTTGCCATGATGATCTTTCTGGGTGACAGGGACCTTCCCGCCATCTTCAGTGGACGAGGTCGAAGACTGCAGACGTGCCGAGAAGACTGTTTGCCTGTCGTACTTGCGACCTTGGCAGTGGTCTTCTTTCCAGGCGACCATCCTGGCCGAGCCAGTTCCGAAATCGAAGGAGGAGCTGCGACTGGGCAGCAAGCCGTGGTGCCTTTGACGAGTGACTGCCGTTGCGAGTGCTGAGGCTGGAGGAGGTAGACGTCTTGGCCGCTTCACTGACAGACGGACTCGAGCCGGGCTTCAGTCGACAGTCGGGTCCACCTTCCGAGGCTTCCCCCGGTGACTTGTCGGAGCTGTGTCGAGAGACCTATGGCGCCTATGACTGTTTGTTGCAGGTGACCATCATGCTGGAGCACATCCCCAAGACGAAGGACGAGTTGCCGCTTGATTGCCGTTCGTGGGTGACGGCTGGTAGGGATGCATTCTGGATGCAGTCTGAAGCCGAGGCTTCAGGAGATGGATGTGCTGGCAGCTTCGCTGACGGCCGGTTTAGACGCATCGCCCGGTGCAGACCGGGCAGAGGGCGATCCCGAAGCGGAGGCACCCATGCTCTTGCAGGAGCTGCGGCACTACTTTATCACAGCGTTGTGCTCCTTTACGTCCCAGCGCTGTGATGCTGACTGTTGGATGTAGCAGATGTGAAGTTCGGTGGCCGGAGGCCTTGTTGCCGGCAAGCACTTCGAGTCCACCTTCGGAGGCACTGCGCTCGTCGCCTGTCACGCGGGCTCACGAAGAGACTGTGGGATTGTGTGGGCTGGTCGTGTGGTAGAACTCGTGTTGGCAGGCAACCATTTTCCTCGAGCGGGTTCCAAAGTCGCAGGACGAGCTGCAGCTCGGCTGCCTTTCGATGTGAGGAAGGGGAGCGCGCAAAGCTCGCGATCACCGCCAAGGCATGCTGAGATGAATGTGCTGGCTGCCTCGCTGACGGCGGGTCTGACAGATCTTCCTAGCAAGAACCATGTGGAGGACGATGCAGCAGAGGCTGGCAACCGTGCAAAGCAGCGCCCTTCCTGTGCCATTATCCACTAGTTAGTTTGTGTCTTGGCAGCCGAGATGGCTGACAACAGGTGGCCACGCTGGCACCCGAGCAGGCAGGGAGAAGCGAATTGAGATCTCGACATTCCCAGCTTTTGCTGCATCGCTCCGTGCAGCTGCCAAGCAGTTCCGCTGCAGGAGGAGATGCAGGAAATGCAGGCGCTTGTCGCCACCGAGCCTTCGCCTCCTGCAGAGGAGGCCGAGGGTAGCCTGGAGAGAGTGCTGCTTCCAGCGAGAAGAGCACGGCAGGCACGGGATACCCCTCGGAGTGGAGCTTCAGGCGCGTCATGGCACGTCTTTGCTTGAACGCCCTTGGCTCCGGAAGCTGCGTGTACACTTGTTGGACTCACTGCTCGCCCTGTTGCTGCAGAGACATGAGCAGGTCAGACGTCGGCGCGGACTTCGGAACTGGACCTGGCCACGGACTGCCTTGCATTGCAGTCTGGCGACTGTCTTGTCCCAGTTTCCAGCTCCAATCCGTCGTTTCGTTGCGAGTTCCGTGACTTCCGTGGTGCGTCATCACACTGTCTGACTTCGGGATGAACTTCTTTTCTTGGCCTTCTAATTCAACCACTTTTCCGTACAGGCTGCCCTTCCCAGCAGTCTACGTCCAGGAGCTGGTGCATGCTGCCTGCTATGCTGGCGACAGTCCGCAGGAAGCAGTGTCTGTGGTGGTTTCCCAGGCAGATCCAGCTCCTCGTGGCAGAGCTTTGCCTGCTCAGAGTTGCTAGAGACAGGAGAAGATGGTCCGATTTCCCAGACTGTCTCAAGTCCACTCTTAGTGCGTGGTGGAAGGCCTCGGCAGCGGCGGATGCGACGGAGATGATTGCCTCGTTGCAGGCGTCAGTGCTGTCTTCTCAACATCCCGTGTCAGCGCCGGAGTTCTGATGAAGGAGAAACTGGATGCTCGACGACCCAGTGCAGGCAGAAGACCTGCCAGCGAGACCTTAGAATGTGGGGCTCGAAGCAGGATATCTTGCTGTCGAATTTAGTTGCATCGTCTAACAGCAGTCTATCAGAAGCCTATTATCAGAAGTCTACCAAGGGCTTTTCCTTACAGTCTTTCCGGTCATGGCTTCATGGATGCCGGCGCAGGTCAGAGTTCCACAGAGTCTGCGGAACTGGACTTGGCCAAGGACTTCCTCTTCAGTCACGAAAGCTCTTCCGGAGCTGAACCAATGTGTGGAGAAGATATTTGGCAAGTAGGTCAAACATGAGTGTAGTGCAGAGTTGTGTGTTTGCCAGAGTGAGAGGCAGCCTGATTACTAGCTAATGCCAGCAGCAGCGATCCAACGAGCCAACAAGTTTGGCTTTCGAAACTGTTCCCTCGTCCCGACAAGGAGCTCGTGCATGCTGCGTGCCAAGCGGAAGATACTCCGCAGGAAGCATTGTCGGTGGTGGTCTCGCAGGCACATTCAGTTTGTCGTGCTGCAGCTTTCGACACAGCCGGCTTGCAACGGCTGATTCTTGTAAGAGTTTTTGTCGAAGGCCTCGGCAGCTGTTGATGCGGCGGTGATGGTTTCTGCCTTGAAGGACTTCTATGGTTGGACACCGGGTTTTGTGAATTGGAGTCTTGCGGCATGTCGTTTGATGAAGCAGAAGTTCCAAGTTGCTCCAAGTTGCCGCTGGAAGACGAGTCTGCGCAGGAGAGACTGGGGGTTCGACCTCTCAGTGCCGGTGGGGCCAAGTTTGGCTGTCGCTACAATCAGTCCTTGCAGCTGACCTAACAGCATGCTCTTTTCAGCTCAGAGCCTAGCGCTTGCACAGGCACAGAGGGAAGCTTTCCGGCGTCTTCACTGGGCGAGGAGGTGCAGGTGATGGGAGCTAAAGAGCTTTCAGTTGCATCAGTCTGAACCGAAAGCCGCCGCTGGCCTGCGAGCCTGTCAGAAGACCGAACCTGTCGTAGTTGCAGACCCGGCTGCTGCTGAAGAGAGACATCCAAAATTATCCAAACCAAGGTTTCGATTCGAACGTGTCAGCCCCGCAGCCTTCGCACAGCAGGCCGCCGTGCCACTGCCAATCATGTCCGAGCCGGCGTCGGAGGCGCCGGGGCTGTCGTCCTCGACCCGAGATTTTAGCAATGAACCTACGCCAAGCAAAACCCAGACCCGATTCAAGCTCCTGAAACCCCAAGTGCTGAAGATCTAGACAAGAGCTGCCCGTTTTCGAGGCTTCGGTGCTGGTTGAGCCTCCGAGATCAAAGGAGTTGCTGCTGGACAGCAAGTGGCTTTCGTGCCAGGTTGTTCCAATCTTGCGTCCAGGTTGAGGATGCCCATGACATGTTAGTTGTGGGAACCAGAAAGAGCCTTCCCGAGGGTGGCAATGATGGACAACCTTGCCCAGTCACTGATTGACGGACTCCAAGTTGTCGACGTGAAGCAGGCGCGACCTTCCCCAAGCGCAACGTGCCAAACAGGGGAGAAACATTGTCCGAAGTTCGACGCCACAACAGTTATCTCAACCCTTGATCAGAAGGATCATGTGCACAAATCGAAGGTCATGGCCCTAGCAAGGCGTTTGAACACCTGCGCTAGGAAGGCCCAGCCTGTCCGGTACCGATCGAACATGATTTGGCAAGTCTCGGAGCACCCAGGATGCGTCCTCGACTGCTGTGACTATCGAGCTTCAGAAAACCTGTGTTGTTGTTTTCCCGAGAAGCATAACTGGTTCGTTTCTCGGGAAACCCTGATTTCTAGTTTCTGAAGGCGCAGCCCGCCGGCTCCGAGACGCAGCCCAGCGCCAAGGCGGAAGCAGCTCTGCACAGGGCGCTGCGTAGAGCTCCCTTGCCCCACGTCTCGGCCGAGTGCCGAGCGAAGAAGCTCCGCTGTGAGGATGTCGCCGAGCAAGATCGACCTACTTCAGGAGGCGCCGAAGAAGCGGCAGCTGCAGAATGCTGAGGATACTTGACGAAGCTCGCAGGCACTTCTCGGTTTTCAGTGGGTGCGGATGCGATGCAGGTTTCGACCGCAGCGTTGCCAGCGTCCTTGCATCGGCGGCCTGTTCCGAAGCAGCAGAGGCGGGGGGACTGGGGCAGGGCCGATCTGAGTTATGTATTTGTCCGACAGAAGGACCTTCAGCAATCTGCGGTGTGTCAAAGATATGGGCGTCCAGGCGGTGATGCAAGCTGCCTACGAAGAGGTCCTTCCGTGCCTCCAGCTCGAAGCCGACAGGAGGCTCTCGCTGTAAGCGTTCTGCCTGCAGAGACACGAGCCCAGGGAGACGAATGAATCAGTCTTTACCAGCCGACAATGGCATAGACCAACAAACGAGCCAGTGAGTCGGGTTTTCAACTGTTTGCAGAAAGTTACAGAAAGGGGGGTTCCTTCGCAATCAATCGGCTGCGAGTGGGAAACAGTGCATCAGTTGCAATCACCTTTGGCCAGATCTAAGAAGACACTTGTAGGAGTCAGGCCGACACATGGCAAGCCGCGTGTGGGCCGTAGTCATTGACACTTGCACTGCTGCGGGGCAGGGTCTATTTCTCATCAGCAATGTTACGGCAGCATGATCCAAGCAATGCGACAGCAAAGGACTTTCGGCGCTGAAGGCAGTCTTGCCTGGCAACGCAGCAGTGTCGAGAAGCCACCTCATAATCTTCTTTGTGTTGATCTCACATACGACAGAAACCTACATGAGGAAATCCAAAGCAGAACGAAATGGATAGACTTGCCCAGAATTGGGTTTGATTTGACAAGACAGAAACTTCTGTGCGGAGCCACCTGCTGCAGAAAGAGATGGAAAGCCCTGTGTCGCAAATGACAGAAACGCGCATTTGGAAAGCTCAAGCAGAAAGAGATGGAACGACTTGCCTGGCACCGTGCCTCTCAAGAAAGTTCGTTTCGTGTGGAGGCCATCTCGCATGGATGTTGTTGAGAGTCTTGAGCTCAGATCAGCCACTCATTGCCAGCTAGAGTTCCGCAGGCAGAGCTGTGCGATAGATAGGCTGCCACGTGCCATGCCAAGGGTCAGCGATGGCCGATATTCTGTCTGCGCTGGTGTGTGTGAGATGTTGCAAAGCTTGCTGTAGCTGCAAGACAGGACGTAAAGGAAGAGGGCTTCCCCCCAGAAACGCCTCACCCAGGCGTTGGCTCCGGCTCTGAGGAAGCAGGAAAGCTGGGTGCGGCCGCCGCTGCGAAGCTTCTGCTGGAGGCCAGCCGAGCGGAGAGGAACAGCACCAGGCCCAGCAGCGCAGAACAGAAAATCATCTGAAGTTGTGACCCTGCTCTCCTGTTGAGACTGGGCATATGGGACGGAACGGGCAGACCAAAGTGAGTGCGTTGGGGTCTCAAGAGGAAGGTGAAAAGCAGCCACGACAAGGAATTAGCACCATTTCGTACTCGGGTAGCACTGCCCAGTGCTGCCCGCACGCCGGGCATTACGCGAGTTGTTGTGAGTTTAATTCGGAAGCGGAAAACCGCACTTATGCAGAAGCAGCAGCCCTCGCCAAGTCCCTGATTTCTAGTTTCTGAAGGCGCAGCCCGCCGGCTCCGAGATGCAGCCCAGCGCCAAGGCGGAAGCAGCTCTGCACAGGGCGCTGCGTAGAGCTCCCTTGCCCCACGTCTCGGCCGAGTGCCGAGCGAAGAAGCTCCGCTGTGAGGATGTCGCCGAGCAAGATCGACCTACTTCAGGAGGCGCCGAAGAAGCGGCAGCTGCAGAATGCTGAGGATACTTGACGAAGCTCGCAGGCACTTCTCGGTTTTCAGTGGGTGCGGATGCGATGCAGGTTTCGACCGCAGCGTTGCCAGCGTCCTTGCATCGGCGGCCTGTTCCGAAGCAGCAGAGGCGGGGG